AAACCGTGGATTCAGCCGTGGGAAGAGCCGTGTAAGCTCCCACTCGAGGATACATGGCTGATTGAAATTGAATACAAAACCAGAGCAATTCAGGGCCCATTATCACGGACAATGCGCGGGCACCTGATCCAGATGCCCTAACCAGACATAACAATCGATCCATACAAGTGCATCTCCTGCAGCCATGCGGGAAATTTTGAATTCTATATTTTTCCCAAAAAAAAATGCCATGCTGAAAAGGTTTGAATAAATAGCGAAATATTGAAGAATTAACTTCCAAGAAATTGAGAGCAGAAAAGGGGTAGCAAAAACGAAGAATGAAAGGATTTTTCAATTCAATATTCTTTGGCCTTTTCGGGGGCCAACAGGCAACAGGCCAACACAGCCAACAAGTGGGCGATCAATCTGGCATGCGCAATATGCTTTTTGTTTCAAATATTAATAGGAAAGAACCCTCATCAAAGCCGCTAACTGGTGGTAGCTGGAGGTAGCCGGAAAAAAGGGGCAATTGTGGGCATATCGAAGATGGAGATTGTAGATTTTAGCTGGAGAGAGAGAGAGAGTGTCCCACAATGGACTACCAGAGAAGCGGGCAAGTTGTCAGCGGGCGAACAGATTTCCATCTGATTTCCATTGGAAGATATAGATTCTGCAACTCTCTCTCTATGAATTAATGTGAAAGTTGTATAATTTCGCTTGTCGTCCAATTAATGCAGAGCCACGACTGGGCCACTGACTGACGGCATTTTGATTTCGTTTTCATATCGCATATCGAATGACAGCGACGTGGGAAGCACGCACAGATTCCAGGAGACTCAGGAGGACAGGGTTCCAGGACCGTGATGGAATGGGGATGGGTCCGTCAAGATGAAAGATATGCGAGATCAACATGTAATCTTTGGCATAAATACGAGAAACGCTTAAGAAACTGACAACAAGAGCGGGGACAATGAGCGCATGTTGCATGCCCGATCGAATGTCCTTTGATATCAGACGTTAAAGGAGCACCGTGCGGTACTTATATTTCATTATGCGAAAAGGTAGAGGTAGAGACCTTTTTAGAGACCTGTTGTCGTCTGCGACGGGGTCTCTGTCCCCGTCGATGTCCCTGTTCTGGCATTCGTCTTCGCCTGAGTCAGCAACCCCTCTGTGGCTATGGCGTTCGTCCTTCCCTTCCTTTGCCAGTTTCGGTTGAATTCTGATTCTGGCGGTGCTGCTGCCCTACCCGGAACGCACACTTCAACCCTGCCTCTGCCCGTGCCTGTATGTCTGCCTGTCAACTCCTTTGGCCAGGACTCTCTCTCTCTCTCCCTCTCTCCTCGCTCATTGTCATCGCCATTTGCCAATGTCCTCCGCTTGACACTTGCAGATTAGTAAAGTGTTGAGTTTTTTTTGTTGAATATTTTTCCTGCTAATTGCCGGCACACAATTAGTTTTGCTCCAAATTCATGTGCCAAAAATACATACAGGATACCAGGATACGCCAGGATATCTTCCACATGTGCAGGCAGGATCTGCCGGATGGGCAGTGCAATGATTTGCATTATTCATTGTTTGACTGCCAAAGTACTTCTCTTTATGTTTCATTAACTTCTCAGCTTGATTCATGACTTTTGGTAATTTTATTTAATCTCTCGGTTTCCGGTGTTCCATTTTCTTGTGGGCGTTTTTAGCTGGCCTGCAGTTCTAGATAAATATTAATGTTGGATTCAAGATATTGTTATGGATTTCCAGATTATATTTCTCTATTTTGCAATTGAAGTCAAGAAGAATAAGATTGGGATGGGAGTAGGGTTGGTAATTTGCTGCAACCTTATCTGGTGATTGCAGTCATATTTTCCTTGGTTTCTAGCTTTTGTTAGCACCTTATTTTAATGATAAATATAATTTGTTAGTTAAGATTCACGAAGATTCGTTTAATAAGCTCAAAGGGGGGTTTTTACTGTACGACTTGTACTGCAGTTGAAGTGGCGTTAAAAGCAATACCCCAAAAAGTGTAGCATACCTTCAGGCCGAACGTTAAATGTTGCTGCGAGAAAAAACACAAGACACAGATGGCGGCACAGCTACTTGTCCTCAGCGCTAAGTTTTTTGTTAGGATTTTCAATCAAAACTTGCCTCTATCAACTCGGCTGCAATCTATCTAACTTCCTACTCTATCTATTTTCAGGCGAAGCTTTCCTTCTTCTCAAAACTACACTCCATTGTATTTTATCTTTATTCCACACTCCTATATCCATCAATCCTGTCTATATTTATACAATTAATTCTCATTTTAATATTATATTGTTTTCGATTTAAAGATGCTTATAATCCTCCCATACAATTCCTCTCCTTCCACACAGCTTGCTGCAACAATGTTGCTTTTGCGGGGGGCTTTGTTGCATTGTTGCATTGTTGCATTGTCCGCTCTAAAAATAATCCCAACAATATGCATAAATTAGGCTCCGATGCACACAGAATGTCCGCTTGTGTCCGCGGTGTGTACGCTAATTATAATGACAAATCGGTCAATTATAATGCCATGTCATAAATTTGCAATCCGCCATCGATCATCCACCACGACCGGGAATATTGAATAAAATCGATTCGATCGTGCATCATGGAAAGATACGACGAGTACCTGCTCCCGCGACTTCATTAAGGAGTTCGAGTGCTTGCAGAGCAGAGCCGCAGAGCAGGAATAATTAACTAACGAGGCCAGCCAGGACTCAGACGTGGACATGAGACATGGACAGGGGCCTAGATAAAAGTGCAAATTCTTGTAAGCCAGATCAATGGGAGAGCAATTTAGTTGCAGCAGCTGAAGGCAAAAGTAAAAGGAAGCTGCAGCCTGTGAATGGATGCGGATGCTGGCTGGTTGGGGGAAGGAGATCAGAGTCTCAGAGTCGTGGAGATGAAGATGGGGCAGCGTTCAATGAAGCCTCCTCACAGCTGTCAGAATGGCCATTCTAGCGGCACGCCCACCGCATTAAAAAGCCACTAAGCAGGACATTCGAAGGCGGTAGGGGCGTGACGACGTCGCAACGTTCAACCTGTCAGGCAGAGGGGCAATCGTGTAGTTTTCAAATTTATTGTCGACACGCAGCACAACCTCTACGCCCCCGAAAGCCGCAGGAGATGATATCTGACTACGGGCAACATGTTTACTTGGCATTCATCATGCTTTAGACACTTTCTCGATGCTGGCCAGAAAATATAAGAAACTGTTGTGTGTGCCTCATAATTGCCTCACTTAAGCCCCGCAACGGTATAACCAGTTTCAGTTCCTTCTTCGGAGATGTCCATCAGGCAGCTGACCGCAGAAAGGGCACGGCCCGGTCTCGGTCTCGGTCTCCTCCAGTGGCTCCCCTCCTCGCAGCCCCAGCAGCATTATCTCTCTGTCGC